CCTGTCACAGAGGCGGCAGCAGACTCCCAACTTGCTGGCCGAAGTCCTCTGGAGGGACGCGGGCACCCCGGACAGCCCCTGCCAGGGTCCGCGCCACCGGGCACGGAACAAGCTGCGGCCGGACTTCAGTCGTCTGTACAATTTTACTACCAAAGCGGCTCCTTAGACTCTACAACTGTAAAACAACAGACTCGATATACTGTATTTTGCTGTGTATAATGCACACTTTTTTGCACCAAATTTTTGAGGGAAAAATAAGGATGAGCATTATACGTGAGTAGTACTAATTCCGTATCTATGTAAGTGTTTTTAATTCTTTTGTGTTTATGCATTAAAAGTGTACCTCTAGAAAGCAAAAAACGATATCCATGTGCAAAATAATACCCTGAATACAACAATCGGTTTTGTTTCTAAATATAAGTAAATAAAAATTGAATTAAAAAACTCAAATAAAAGTTTGTTTTTTTCACTGAAAGTTTGGGCCACAAACGTGGGTGTACATTATATATGGCAAAACCAGTATACGATGTAATGAATTATGGCCTAACTCCAGTGCTTGCCTTTTATTTTAGTGAGAGAAGAAATGAATGTAAAAAGAGTCATCATTTGTCCTCCTGTTTCTGTGAAAGGTCGGCCATTTGCGGGGTGAATCGAGTCATTTCATTGGCTCATGCTGTAGTGCGACCTTAGGGATGGGCCAGGGGACCAGTTTTTTTGTTTTGTTTTTTTCAGCTGGACACACTAAAGCAGCAGAATAAGTTAGCTCGAGACATTTATCTCTACCTGAACCTCGTCTGTCCCTGCCCATCTGCACACAGGAAGAGTTTTCCCAGGCGCGGCGGAAACGCAGTCGCTAAAATAATAGTCATGATGGCTGAGTGTTCCCAGACTCTGGCACACGCTCTGCGTCCCTGGTCCTGTTTAATCCTGTCAACGCCCCTGGGAATTGAGCGCTGTAATGACTCCCACTTACCGATGCGGGAGCCGGGCTCAGGCAAGTCGTTGAGCTTGCTCAGGGTCACTGGGCTGAAGGAGGGGACACTTCATTGCCCTCCCGCCCTCTGGTGAAGGACAGGTGAGCCCAGAGCGCTCCGCTCCTCAGCCCGGGAGGGACTTTTCCTCTGGGAATGAACGTGGGCACAAAGCCCCGTGGAGCACGAAGCCTCCAGGGTCGTCTTATTGCCATGCATTTCCTAGGCCGCTGCCGGTGATGAGGCAGAAAGGACCAATGTGAACGATGGCCAAGTGCTCCTCTCCAACCACCCTGGAAGGAGGCCCCCGTCCCCGCTGGCTTCGCTGCTCTGGCCTCCCCTCCTAGAAAGCCATCTTTCTTGCTGGCAGGGATGAGATGGCACTACTACGACACTGAGCAGGAGGAGCCAGAGACAGGAACACTACAGGCTGCAGTAGATCAGGAATGTCCCAAAACAGGTGTGGGAGAGTTTGAGGGGAGGGTCCCGGGGTGGGAGCGGAGCAAGAGGAAAGTGATAGAGGAAGACATGGTGTTTTCGTGGGTATTGCTGCAGACCAGCCTCGGAACTTGTTTGCAAGGCAGCATGGAGAGAGCCTTCCTTCTCAGCGCATTTGCTGAACTGAGCTTCCCGAGTGTAACACTGCATCCGACAGGCCCTGACTTGGTGAGGCCAAGGTGCGCGCAATTCTCAGGCTACAAAAGCCATCTTTGATGTTTTCATTGCCTGCCAATTAAAAGAGCGTTAAGTCTAGGATGACATCCAAAGGGCTTGGTGGGCCTGAGGAGGGAAGAGGACACCTCTGGGGAAAACCAGAGAAGGCAAGGTGCTTACGGACTTAGGCAGTGGCTCATCACGGAGCTAAGGGACTGTGGAAAGAAAACAGGCGTTGGAGTCAGAGAATCTGAAACTCGCCCCACCCCCTTGCCCATTGGGTGAGCCAAGTCTTGCCAAATCACGAACCTCTTGTCTCTTTTGTAAAATGGGGATTATTAATGGGGGCCTAATGATTGCATGTGGTTTCTGTGAGGATCAAATGACGTAATGGCTGTGAAAGCGAAATCTACACACATCGTCCAACATAGAAGTCCCTCAAGGGGACCAGGTCTCCTCAGGCTCCGGGGCCTCGGTTCCTAGCCGCAGTCTCATGCTCACGAGGAAGCTGGAGTGCTTTCTTTATTAGCCTGCCTGGAAAAGCCTGGAAATCTCTAGACATCAGAGCACGGGAGAATCATGAGCTTCGTGTGGTGAAAACAAAGACTCGCTTTGGGGACATATCCCTGGCGTCTGTTCTGCGTCTCAGGTGGTGCCGGTCTGACCAGCAGGTGGGAATCCTGGCGAAGTTCCTGGTTGTCACACATTGGCTGGGTGCACAGCGAGGAGACAGTGCACATGCGCACATGTCCCGTTGCAAACTTGCATAGATCTTCCTGTTGGCTACACAAGAACAATGCCCCAAGGGGCTGGAACGTGAGTTAGTGGTGCTATTTACATGTGTCCTCTTGGTCCGTATTGACTTTGGAAAGAAAGACGGGGCCAGGGCCAGTGGCGGGCATAGGTGGGCGGTTTTAAGGGGCACGCACATGACTCCCTGAGCTACCGTGGGGCAAACCAGCTGCTCGGGAATTCTATTAATTAGAACTCTGTACGTGGAACATTCCTGTTCATAATAATTAACCGTGGCCCCATGAGATAATGCAGCAGTTTATGACCAAGAGAAAAACAAGCGGGGTTATGTTCCACAGAGTCTATTCAAATGCGTTCTTGACAGTGGTAGTTCTTGAATGGGCTCAATGGAAACCCTGCTAATGATCGTATTGGTTAACCAGGTACTACGATTGTGCCCGAACACAGAGAGCCGACGATGACGGGTCCCCTTTCTCTGCAGGATAGTTACCCTTGGGTTTCTCACTTTTCTCTTAATCCCGACTTCTCAGAGACTGTTCGAAGTTAGGCCGAAACGCCTGCTCCCCTTCCCTGTTTCTGTTTGGTCTTCATAACCCCATGCAGATATCGTCTCCTGGGAGCCTTCCTGATCTGCCAGCGGAATGAACTGTCCTCCCCTCACCCCCCAGCACTAACTGGTTTCAGATAAACACACCGCATTAGAGTGTATTTCCAGGCGCGTCGGTCCTGGGAGACCAGGCGGCCTGTGCGCAGTTCTCCTCGCAGATCCGGGTACTGAGTTCCTGGCACAGCGCCGGCCGTGCTGCAAAGCGCCCGGAGCACTTGACCAACCGCATCGCCCCGCATCTACGGTGGCGGGAGAGTAACTCCATGGGGCGTCCTCTTCCATGATAAGCTTGCTGAGGAAAAGTAAGCCCTCAGTACCTTGCGTTTGTTTTCGGTGACCCCCAGAGAGGAAACACATTGACCCAGCAGGATGCTGGGGACTGTTCCCGCGGTAGACGGGGCACAGGCGAGGGAAGCACAGCGGGTACCCCTGGCCTTGGCATCTTGCGCCCTGACCTACGCGCGCCCCCCTCAAGATTCTGGCTCAAAGGAGTTTCTCACCAAGACTGTGTGGCATTGGTTCTTGTACTTCCCCCCGAATATTAACTTACGCAGCTGTAACGCCCATCATTTTTTATTGACAATGCATTCTAAGATAGAGAAGCGAAAACGATGTGGATGAGTGTCTGCCTTCGCAAGGAGTTGGGGGTTAAACACCGAGGCCGGGCATGAAGCCAGAGGCGCTGAGAGGGGCGAGCGGGCGCGTGGGTCGGACCTGGCGCTGCCGGTGGAGCTGTTGTAAAGGGCAAAGTCACGGGCACCTGTGGGGGGAGAGGGCGCTGGCCGGAAGCGGCAGGTTCGTGAGGACAGCCGGGTCCTGAGCGTGGGCCGCGGGGGCAGGCGGCCCGGGCTTGAGCCCCCACCCGCCACTCCGCTCGCTCACGAGCTGCGTGACCTGGGGCGAGCGGCTGAAACTTTCTGCGCCTGCTTGCTCGTCTCTAAACTAGGGACGAGGAGTTAGTGACCTGCCTCGACAGGGCTGTTGTGACCATGAGCTAAGCTAGTATTTGGCAGGCGCTTCGAAAGGGCTTGTGCAATGAGGCTGGAACATGACCGTGGGACCCGAGGTTCAAAGGGAACTTAAAAATCACCACGGGCAAGTAAGCACGACGGCGAAGCAGAAATGCCTCGCGGGGCACGCCTGCCAAGGGGCCGCCCTCCTCTCGGAGCCCACCGCTGGGGGCTGGGGCTCCCCGTCCCCGGCAGCCTGAGGACGACGGCAGGAGGACAGGGGCCCGGGCCGCGGTGTCACCCAGGGCCTCCGCCAGCCGCCGCGCGGTGCCGCCGGGGCCTCCAAACTGCAGCATCTCCAGAGGGACGGACAAGCCGGCGGGAGGAACGACCACGTCGGGCGGCGGCCACGTCGGGCGGCGGCCGCGCTCTGGAAGAGGCAGAACGCAAACTCAGTTCTCTCCAAGGTCCCGTGCGCTCCCAGGCCGCTGCGCCCCGCGCGGAGGCGGGCGCGCACGGGCGGGGCCGCGCGGAGGCCAGGAGGGCTCCGCAGCCCGGGGGCAGAGAGGCAGGGGGAGGCCGGAGCCAGCCTCGTCCTACCCGGGACGGGGTCGTCCCGGCGCGGGGCTCGGGGCTGAGGACGGCTGGCGGGAGGGGTCCCTTGAGCGGCCTCGGATGCCCCCTCCCAGCCAGCCCCCGCCGCCACCGCTGCGGGGTCGCCTTCTGCTGGGTCTGCATTGGGAGCCTCGCTGTGACGCGCCGCTGCGGGTTGCAAGGCCTGGATTTCAGGCCCGCCTCTGTCCCTTCCTAGAGGTGTGACCGTGCGCCACGCCCGGGTCCGAGCAGAAGCAAAGCACGAGGTTGAAAAAGGCAAATGTCTCGTCCTCATTTCCGTGGTCCTTAGCCAGCTAGCTAATCGCGGGGCCGGGTCTGTCATTAATAATAATAATGATGCTAATAGTAAATCATATAGCATTGAAAAGCACTTTGTATTTTCTTGGTTAATCGTTACAACAATCTCACACGGTAGCTGTTGCTGTATTTCAGATACAGAGACGGGGAAGTATGGAGGGCTCAGCGAACCATTTGGGGAAACTCTGAGGAACAGAACGGGCTCATCGCTCAAGTCCTGGCGTTCTGTGAGTGGCGTACAGAATACTGAGAATATAAACGCACCTTCAAAGATTGATACACAAGGTAATCATAGCTAGAACATAATGATTTTTATGCAAAAAGCCACTTTCACAGAGAGCAGAATTACGTAAACATTACTCTGACTACCAGAAATATCGCCCCCCCCACCCCCGCCCCCTCGGCCTCCCAGGGAAGAGAGAGCTTAGCTGGAAATTAATGCAAAGCAGAGAAAGGCGAAGTGAAAAGCAGTTTCAGTGACTGCCCTGCGCATTGAGACTGCAAACATTTCCGCTCAGGTGTCTGACTTGGGGCTGGGCCAGGGCAGGTGTGAGAGAGGCCCCGCCCAAGGTCGCTTTCTCTGAGAAGTTTGCAACTAAGGCCGCCAGGCTCCTTGGTGTTTACTTCCGGTAAAGTCCCCAGGTGAGACAACACCCTCTTTCCTCCCACTCTTCCTCCCTGCAGCCCAGCACAGAGGCCGTGCTGTGGCAGCTGCCTGCTGTCCTGTCGGGGCGGGGTGTGCATGTCGTAGGTGGCTGTCCTCCTGTGTGTGTTTGGAGGGAGCACATGCTAACCCAGAGTCATCTGTGAAATGACCAAGTCCCAGCGCTCTTGCAGCTCCGCCCTCCTCCCTCCCGGCCACTCAGCTGTCAGACCCTCGTGCTCCCGGGCTCCCCGGGACCACAGCCCCGCTAGGGCTCCCCACGGACGAGCGGCTTACGCACGCATGGACTCTCGCCTTATCTTGCTCGCTTCTGTTCTTGTGGGCCTGCGGCAGTAACGTGCTCCCCTTTTTATTTAAAAAGTGGAGCAGAATCCGCTTTGAATCACAAGACGGTGCAGAGAGGAAGCTGGCAATTGCCGGTGATGTCTCTACCACTTGGTCCAAATCCCTGGGGCCTGCGGTCCTGCGGAGGCCAGGGGAGGGGGCCAGCCCAGCTGGCAAAGCCCAGATCCCTGGGGAGGGAGCCAGCCGCACCCCGCGAGCCTTCTTAGGCTTGTGGCCTGGTGTTACCCGCAAGGAACCCTCCTCTACCCCTTTGTCACTTCGAGGAATTCTACTGAGAAATCTGCGCTCTGGGCTTTCGCTGGGTACCAGGTACCTAATGCCCCTCTGCGCCTCTGTGAAGTCAGTACATCGGTCTTAGGGCGCTTGAAACCTTAAGCAAAGGAAATTTTGCAGAAGAGAAAGAAAACAATGCAACATATGGCCCAGTCAGTGTGGGACAGGGTGACTTGCCTATTATTAATAAAAGTGAATGCACTTATTTACTTACCTGTTATATGAGCACTATTAACAATCTTGTTCTTCTCAGGTGTAACAGTTAATAAACTCAATGACTTAATTTGAGAAAGAGATCATCCTGTTAATGAGTAAATGTACATTTTGGGGAAGTATAAACAGATTCTGCCCAAAGTTTGTCCTTGTGACCAACTCAGAATTACATGCATTTCTATTAAGGTTTTAGGCATTATATTAAGTTCAAGATACATGATAGGTTATGTATTGTTAGAGATTAAAAAAAAGAAGAAGAAGAAGAAGAAGAAGAAGAAGAAGAGAGCACTTGGAAATGAATGCGGTTCTTAGTAATTGTCTTCCAGGTACTTGTTAGTGTTACTGTTTGAGAATGAATGAGACTGTTTTCCACCTGACAGACACTCATGCTCCTGTAATCAGTGGTAATTCACTCTACAGCACAGTTTCATTGCTGACATTCAGCTGAGGGTAGTTTACAGCTCTTGGGATGGTTACATTTTTAAAATTGTTTCATGTAAAATCTTCTCAAAGCTTCAATTTAGATAGAAGTGCATTATTACATGCCTTGGACTCAGTATGAGGGGGGATGTATGTATAACTTATTTTATAGCAACAAGAGATGGCATTCTACCTGCCCATCCCGCCACCCATCCCTCCCTCCCTCCCTCCCTCCATCCATCCATCCCTCCCTCCGACAAACATCTCTTGCTGTCTCTTAGGTTCTAAGACACTGTGCTAGATCCTGCGGATGTGGCCCTAAACCAGCAAGCTGGGCTCAGCTGTCACAGGAACTGCAGGCCTGCCCGCTGAGTACGGATTTTGACGTTGACGCGGATGGCTTAGGGGGGAAGAGCCGAGCAGGAGGACTGCAGGAACCCGCAAGAGCTGCCCCCCAGAGCCTCGGGTTCCCAGGAGCTGTGAGTACTGGAGCAGCACCAACTCACTGCTTGCCAGGGCTTGGGCTGTGGAGATGCTTGTGACAAGGATTTTCCCAGCTGGCAAAGGTCTGGCTGGCGGACTTCTGTGAGTGTTCCTCCCTCGCGCGAAGAAGGTACTATTCTCAATTGCTTTTCAAAATCATTTTCAAGAAAAAATGGCCAGGGAAACTTAATGTACAAAAAATATTTCCTGTGAATTAAACATTTCAGTGTGGGAATGAACGAAAGACGAACTGCAGCTGACTCTCTGTGGGATCGGCTGTGACGCTGGTAGGTCGCCATGCTTTCTGTCCACTTAAACAAAGCTGATCGGCCTTGTTGCTGTCTCGCTGGGCGATTGGTTACGTTGCTGAGAGCGGCTTCCTTCTTGGAAATATTTATTCATAATTCTAACCACAAAATAATGAACATAATCATGTGCTTACAGTGTTCCAGATACTCAGACTCGGAAGCTCTGGAAGAGCAACACCCATCTATACCCCCGCAACACCCCACTTCCCTGCCAATACTTGGTACTTCTCAGCTCTCTTATTTTCCAGTGTAATAGATGCTAAATTGTACTGCATTGTGTTAATTTGCATTGGGGTGATGACCCGTGATTTTTAGCATCTTGCTATAATCTTGTCATTTTTGTGTGTTTTCTCTTCTGAAATCGCCTATTCATAACCTTTACCCATTGTTCTATGTTTTGCTTTTTTCTTGCTGATTTTCAGCCCCCATATAGTAGCATAAATTCTTTGCCAAATTTAGAAATTGCAAATATCGTCTCTTTTTCTGCCCATTATGTATTCACTACCTTCATGATCTTTTGTTGAAAAGGAAGCCTCAGTTTTGGTGTATTCAGAAGCCAGGCCCTGTGGCAGCCAGTGGGGGGATTGCTTGCCTTGTGGCTCCGAGTTGCTGGGAAGGACTGGGGGTTAGTGGTGAGGACACACATGCTCCAGGCAGAGGGGAATTCACATGTGACCAAGGACATAGACCCACACGGCGCACTTGGCTCCGACTTTCCATGCCCTGTTGGCTGCAGATGGCTGTTGGAAAGGCTATAGAGCTCCTGCCCCGCTGGACCAGCTCCGAGGGGCTGGACCCTAGTAGCCAGGTTTGGACCGTGAGACCCAGGGACCCTGGCTCAGGTATTCAGCCAGGGTGACCATGAGGCCCCCATTGGCCTATCGGCTCCTCTCTCTTGGGACTAGGACCTAGAGCCTCCAAGGCTGGGGTGGGGGCAGAGCCTATTGAGGGAGGCGCATCTCCAGTTATCCAACTCTCCTTAGAATTCCCTGAGATGAACCTTCCTCCCCAAATCCTTTTTTTTTTTCCCTAAAGTGGGTTTTGGTTTTTTATAACCAAAATAATAGTAACTAATACTCACTGATCAAGGTAAATGTACAAAGCAAATATCATGTGCTTGTCAAAGCCAGTTTCGGATGCCTTTGTGATAAACCTGCCTAAAAGTTGAATGAGACAAATTTTATCTAAATTCCCGGTCTTATAAACTACAAAGGATCTCCCGCTAACCTCAGCTTGGACATGGGGCTCGCGCTCCGCGGGGGCCAGGCTGGGACATCCCGCTCGGCCTGGGGCTGGGCGTCCTGGCTTTGGGCGCTGGGGGGCAAGGGCTGGTTATGCCCAGGGTGGGACAGGGCTCTGCCCAGCTTTTGGGAGGCCGGGTGGAGGAGACCCGGGAGAAAGAAGCCGCAAGGGGCCTGATCCTCACCAGGGGGCCGCCCCTCCCCGAGAATGACCCAGACTCTGCCAGGACCTGAACTTGAATGTGATGCAAGCTCAGGCCCAGCACAAAGATCCACACGCTTTCCGAATGCATTTTAGAAATACTTCCTGGTCAGAAGGTAATACAAACCTCTACTGTGGAACTCCACAGGGAGCCAGAACAACGTGCATTCCGGCTGCCTTACAAATTTAATTAATTTGCTCGAGACTATTTCAATTGCTTTCACCCCCGCATGAATGAAGGCCACATGATTTCCACTCTGTTTCTATGGTTTCCTTCCTCTGTTCAGATACATTAATTAGTTTGTCAGTTCATTATAAATGTTGGTGCCTTTTTTTCCTTTTGAATGTGAGCCCATATTAATTTAGTTTTGCTTCAACAGTGTTTAAAAATAGAGCAAAATTATTGTGACTGCCGTACAGGAAGGCCTGCGGGTATTTAAGGAGCTTGTTGGAGTAGCGCGATTTTCCCTGCTTTCCTCGTTCCTGGGATGAAGAGGTGGCAGTGAACGCCCGTTTTACCTTGCAGCCGGGTGACTCAGCCTCTCTTTTCTCTCTGACATTCAGCCTCATTGGAAATACCTGGCTCTTTGGCCTCCCGGACGGTTGCGTGCCCTGACGTCATCAGGGCTTGGGCAGATGTATCTTCACGAAGAGAAAGCTTAGCGATGCCTTTTTTTATTTAGTTGTTGAAAAACATGAAAACCCCAGACTCACTCATTCCTAGACACCGGGGACCCCTGTTTAATATCAGTTCAAAGCGCTGATGTCTCAGTCCAAGCTCTCCCCAGCACGAGGGTGCTGAGTGAGGGCTCCCAACGGGGAGTCTGCCTGGGCCCACCCAGCAGAGGGCCTCAGTGTCTCCGGTTCCTTGCCTGATGTTACTCCCGGGACAGAAGCGCTCAAACGCGGCCATGCTTTTGCATCAGGTGGAGGAACTTGTACAAGTACGGATGCCTGGGCCCCATTCCAGGCTTTTCGAAGCAGAATCTCGGGATGGAGTCCAGATATGGGCTCTGTTTAGTACCCAGCAGGCAGCTGGGTTTGAGGAACACCGGCAGCTTGAAGACCTGGTGAAAAGGGGTGTCATGGGTAGAATTGTGTCTGTCCCAGAAAACGTATGTTGAAGTCCTAACCTTCGGCACCTCCTGATTTGGAGATAGAATCTTTGCAAATGTAGTCAAATAAAGATAAGGTCATTAGCATGGGCCCTAATCCAATAGGACGGGTGTCCTTTAAAAAGAAGCACACACAGGGAGGAGGCCACGGGAAGATGAAGGCGGGGACTGGGGTGATGCTTCTACAAGCCAGAGAAGGCCCAGGATGGCAGGCAAACCACCGGCCGCGGGCAGGGTGTCAGGGGACAGAAGCTCTGTAACAGGCCTCAGAACAAACAGGCCCCGCCGACGCCTCGATGGCGGACGTCGGGGCTCCAGGCAGAGACAACACCTTCCTGTTGTCCTCAGCCGCTCAGTCCGCGGTATGTTGTCACGGCGGTCCTAGCAATCTAGTAAAAGGGATCATCACCCGGTGCCTGGAGGTGCCAGCCCGGCTGGGACTGCCAGGGTGGGGCATAGAGGGGCTGCCTTGGCATCACATTGAGGTGTGTCCGAACCAGGTGGCGCCCCCCACAGACCCCTCCCCGCAGCCAGTGCCGCACCTGCAGACATGAGACGTGCCATAAAAGGTCCACCCGGTGCATCGTGTCCCCTCTGGCCGTCGTTTCAGGCTCCCCTGGCCCCCTCAGACCTGTCCACCCTCTGCTGCTGATCTCCTGGAATTAGGCCCTCACCCGTCCTTGCGAGCTTAGGCTCTGAGTCTTTCCACGCTCCCTGCTCTGACTCTTGACTCCATGACCCGCCCTCCCTGCCCCCAAAGCACCCGTTCCTAGGACTTGCGCCTGGTTTCCCACACGTGAGAGGCTGGATAGGACCCCAAATGATCGGGGCTCCCCCTCTGGCCCCGAAGGCAGGGGCTGGGTCTGGCGTGTGGATGTGCAACACCCTCCAGTCCACCCTGTTGCGGTTGCCTGCTACCCGCTGGCTGAAAGCCTGTTCCAGCTTTTTCGTAGACCTGAAGAGGACAACATCCTTCCCTGGGAAAGAAACATTGCTAGTGGCCGGTATGCGGGTGTGTCCCTGGCTTGCTTCTTTCAGGTAGCACCCTTCGTGACATCTATATGGATGACGTGCTGGGTGAAACATAAGCCATTTCTACTCAGGGCTATTCATGAAGAATGATCCGAATGACGCGAGAGAAATAAGCTCATCTGTACTCTGTCAAAGCATCCAGGTAGACAGAAGAAAACTCATTTTACCACCGTAATGTTTATTTTATAAATTTAGGATAGAAGACAGGTGGGCCCTGAATTTTTCACGGATCTGTTTTTTAAAATTTTTATTTATTGATTTGAGAAAGAGAGAGACACCTCAATTTGTTGTTCCGCTTACTGATGCATTCATTTGTGGGTTCTTGTACGCACCCTGACCAGGGATCAAACCTATAACCTTGGCGTATCGGGTTTTAACCAACTGAGCCACCCAGCCAGGGCCGCCTCTTAGCTGTTTTTGCTGTTAGCCCTTACCTCTTGCCTCCCCAACCCTTCTCAGCTGCAGCAGCTGAGCCAAGCGCCTGTGAACTTGGCCCTACCTGGCTCTCAAGCCGATGCTGGCCAGACCAGTTACCCCGGGAAGGCTCTCCCTGAGTGGGTGGGGCCTGGGGTTCATCTCGCTGCTGTGAGCCTGACAGTGTTGCTGGCAGGATCCCTCATTTCCGGAAAGCTCAGGGCCTTTCCCTGTGGGTGGTGGGGTGTAGAGCTCAAGATTGGTGCCCTGGACTCGGTCTGGACAGGATTGCCGGTCTCCACTTACTGGCTGTGGGATCTCGGGCTGTTTCTGAACTTCTCCAGCCTCGGATCCCTTACCTGGAACAGGAGGGTAGTGAAGAATGACCCCTACGGTTGTCATGAGGCTCACGTGAGGTGCTATGCAAAGTACGTGGCAAAGAACAAGTCCGGGAGGCACCGTGACTACGGTGCTGTCTCACAGCCCGCCTCTTGCTGTTCTGTGCGGCTGCACCTCTGGCTTCCAGTCCAGGCCCTGCCGAGACAGGCCCCTCCGAGACAGGCCCCTCCCTGGTCTGTGGGAGGACTCCTTCCCTTGTATCGGCCTGGGGCCCTCCCTGAACTCAGACCACAGAGAACGACCACGTTACCCCTGCCTGGCTTAGATATGGCCCCTGGCCGGGCTGGACCCCCCAGAAGAATGGACGTGGTGGCCGGAGCCCAATTCCTCACCCGCGTCGGCCAGGGCGGGCAGGAGCCTTGCGCAGCCCTGCCTTCCCCGTCGCCAGGCCCTGTGACCGCGCCGCCTGCCTCCGCGCACCGGCACAGAACGAGCATTGGCACTTCAGAGAGCCCCGGACTACGTGTCTGTGCTTACTTTGTGCTTTGGATCATCATAGGCTCTCGTCTTTTCGTTTTCTGTAGGAGGGAAAATAAATAGATCACACTACATTACAGGAACCTGAAAATGAATATTAATCTCTGTGGGTCTCTTGGTGCCACTACAGGCAAAACAGTGAATTGCAAAGTGAAGTGGGAATTTCAAGACACCCTCTGGTGTGTGTGTGTGTGTGTGTGTGTGAGACACCTGGCCCGACAGACACCTCCCGAGAGTGCCTGCTGAGTCGCTGTGACAGAAGCGTGGCCCTGCTTTCCTCAGGTGCCCTCCCGCGCCAGTCTGCTTGCGGCGTGTTCACCGTCTGCTTCCAGCTGACTGGGAGCATCTTGTGACCTGGTCTTGGATTCCCAACACAG